CCAAAATTAGAGAATTACAGATATCATTACAAAATGAACAAATCTGAGAGAGGTCCACATGTAGTACCTATACACATGTATATGTGATATCAAAGCAATTGGACTTTTTACCAAAAATTACAAAAATATTCACCAAAATTAGGGAATTGAAGATATCATCATGAAATGAACAAATCTGAGAGAGGTCTACACAGGGTACATATACACCAAGTATCAAAGCATTCAGGCTTACAGTTTTCAAGAAGAAGTCGAAAATGTAAAACATTGACACGGACGACGACGGACAATCACTCATATGATAAGCTCCGCTCGACAAAGTCGACAGCGGAGCTAAAAACTGCATGGTGACTAGGAAATCAGGCTAATTTTTCTCGCTGGAATACAACCTCCTCTCAGTGATTTTTAGCAAACTAAATGTGTATTTTTGAAGAATCAAGTATATCCAGTGTGGTTTATGAGTTTAGTTAATTGTGATGGTTCATGCATACAGTATGGACTGATGACATAGCCCCTGTAATTTTGAAGACAAACAAATGTACACACACCCTGACCAAATAAAACACAGGAATAGCAGAGGCAAATCGTCGTTATTCTGCCACAACATACGAGTATGTCTATGGTACGTACCATGATATACCAGTACTTGTTATGATAAGCAGATAAAGTCAAAAAAATGTCCACTGGACGAATGAACTTACTTCGCCCAAAGGTGGAATAATTAATAATGTCTATAAGATGATGTTAAAACATCACCTACGGTAGTTGATACTAGTTTTCTCCATTTATTTTTATTATTTATCTGTTCAGGTCTTCAGTAGGCGATTTGTTAAATTTGTCGCAAACTATGTGATTTTAAAAAATCCTGAATTAGTTTGAAATATTAGAAACATACCAGTACAGTTTTCTCCATCCCCTACTTGACCATCAGGACACTGTAGACACACTGATTTACCATTGGTTAACTCAACACATTCAACGCCAGCATAACAACCATGTCTTTCACAGGGGAACTCGCGTACTTGACGACACATATTGAGTGGTGGTTTCTTGTAACTACTACCATCACATCTCACACCTAAAGAAATGCAAAGATTCAGTATATTATAGTGATGTGTGTTGTTGCAATACACAATTCAACAAGAAGCATGCATAACTTTGTTGTATTAAAATATATTGTATCTGTATATTGAAGTAAAAATAAGTTAGCAGCAAACACGTTTAGTTGAATTATATTTACTATTAATACTTTCAAAAATTAATATAATTCAAATCTTGTTCTACACACAAGTATTTTGTCATTGTATCAAATGAATACTGTGCTTGTTTATTTTATGATAAATCATACCCTAAAGATTATATCCAGTGGCAGTATTAAATAAAATTATTTATTATATAAACTCACTAAAAAAACACAAAGTTATCCATATTGGTTTTTTAAACAAACAGCGACATCTATTTCATCAAAAACAAGATCTGGTGAACTGATACAGCAAATGAATCTACACCAGACTTGCATACAGAATCGGTTGACAGAAATTCCACAACTGACCTGCATCTTCACCATGGTTACTGTCACAATTTCCTTGTCCCCATCCGGTATGTTGACATTGCGTCAAAGACATTTCATATCCCTTGCAGTCTACATCATCCATCCACACTGGCGTATCTGAACTAACAATACCATACGACGAGGACAGCGGAGCACTGAGTGCTTTACCATATCCTAATTCTTGGCAAACAATCTGTAAATACATTGGACCAAGGTAATTTACAAATCATATTGTATAATTCATGAAATAGAAGTTTACTTCGATTTGTTGTTTTTCTCAATTTTTCTAAAGATACAAAATATGATATCAGTAGTTGTTTATAGATAAACCTGTGCTATATCTGGTAAGAATATGCATGGAACCACTAAATACAGAGATTATTCAAGCTACATTGTAAGCATGGGGTCATGCACTCATTTGTTGTGAAGTACCAGTACACTAATATTTGATGTGGAGATTAACAACGTAACTTAAACTAATTTGCCGAATAACAGAATATGTGGCAATGTTAAATATTCCTATATAATTTGTAAATTTCTACTACAATTTGATTCTGTATGTGATAAATATCAATATCATATCATTTTTGGGGAGAAATAATAATTGATAGTAAATTTGTAGCCACTAAAAATACCAGGAAGTGTGAACGTTTGAAATCAAACCAAAAAAAAATCCCCAAAATCAAAATAACTGCAACAGAATTTACTGCCTTTTAAAATTTGCAAAAATTTGTCATTCATAAAATTAAAGTATCAATGATAATTTGATTCAATAAAATAAAAATCTGTTTTACTTACATCAGCATCAACTAAATCCCATTTATCATGACATACAGTCCCCCATTGTCCATCATAGAACACCTCTACCCTTCCTTCATATGTATTGACACTTGTTGGATTATTTAGTCTCACTAACATCGGGTTAGGTCGAGATGGTAAAATAGAACTTAACACATATTGTCCTCCTGGGCATTCAGTAACACACGTATAGTCTGTTAAAGAACAATTATGAATAGTTTAGAACTGAAGTATATTGCAAAGTTCTGTTATGATATGTGTTAAATAAAATGTGCCAGTCTTCAGTGCATACTGTCATAGTTAACACACATATAGCAATATAAGGATGGTTATTTCATTTAATTTCATTCACCCTAAATAACATGCTTTTGTGCAAATTTCCAAGGTTTCAAGTGAAGGCAATATTTTGTACATAGGAATATGGTAATAAACACTGATGAGGTAGGAATCATGTAAGCAGCATGTCAGCCCCTTCTCATTGGGTGGAATTTTCCACTATTTGAAAAAAAAGCATGTCAGACCCTTCTCATTGTGTGGAATGTACCACTATTTGAAAAAAAAGCATGTCAGACCTTTCTCATTGAGTGGAATTTTCCACTACCAGATATGTATCCTTACCATACAGCACCCATTGATGGTGCAGTTGTGTAATAAGGTTATTAATATTATTAATTATTAAAATTTGAAAAAGAAGCATGTCAGACCCTTCTCATTGGGTGGAATTTTCTACTATTTGAAAAAACAGTATCAGATGAGAATCTGCATGCGTGGTGTAACTATCGGCAAGTTGTGGCTATATACCCGTACTACCAGTAAATTATTCCTCAGGCATTTTTGTAGACAACATGTATACCAGGATTTTAACTGACAGCTGTCCGCATTCATGTACATGTAGAATATACCAGGTTTTTAACCGACAGCTGTCTGATACCATGCAATTTTATGAAACTTAGAATCAGTGAAAATAAAATCCTTTGAAAATAACTCAATCAACTCATCAAATATCAGTGACAAACTTCAGATAAAACAACCAGTGTTATTTCAGTGAAAATAAATTTAGTATACTCAGCTACATTGTATGTTAGTTGTCAAAACTCTAAAGCAATAAAATACAGATACTAACCAATCAGTGCATATCCAATGTTGCAGGATTTACAGACTGCATTGCTATCCCCATCAAAACAACTAGTGCATTTGCTATCACATAACTGGCATTCTCTGTCAATTGTGTTACCATAGTAACCAGTTGGGCATTTATCAATACAAGTCGTGCCATATAAAAAGTTTGGTTCTGCACAGGCTGTACATTCTTCTGGAGAGTTACTGCAATATTTGCAGGTAGCGGCACAATGAAGACAGACATGATCAACTCCAGCATAATAACTACAAATACAAAATGTTAAACATTACAGCAGAGCATAATATAATAATGGGGCTAGCCTAGATGTACACCTTCTGAGACCTCTATATTAAATTTCTTGGAACCATATAGTCACATACTGTGGGCTGGGTTTACTGGAACCAAGGAAATCAAATACTCTCCATACACATTTCCTAGCTTAAATGTTGCATGCCCAAATCATGCATTGTCCGAATCGACCTATAGGCCTCTACACAATACCGTGCGGGATCGCATAGGCTAATTGCGTATCTTAAGCAGTGAGATACAAGGCGCCCAATCAGCTTGGAGGTACCAAATTATAAAACAAAATTCCACTTCCTGTTTTTGTCGCTATGAAGACGTCCTTTCCACACAAAACTGCGTTGATTGCCTGTACCTGATGAGGCTTGAGGGCACCAACACCGAAAACTTTCGCAATTTTATCATCACAAATATCACGATTCATGGGCGCTTTCATTTTGTTTAAAATGAAACGCCAAAGAGGGATTTGTAACACGCAAACTGATTGGACAATGATTAGCCGCAACTGACTACTGGGGGCGCTGTTAGAATATGCATATTTGATGGTCGTTCTGCCAAGGTCTCTTTAGAGGTTTGGCCGAATAAACTTAGACCTTGACTAGCGAAGATGAAATCATGCGATGTTTAGATACATGTATCAACATGATTTAACACTGACAGCTTTTAGAGCAGTGTAGATGTTTTGGAGACTCTGGAGAAACACATTGTTACTATGGGTCTGAATCTGATTTGTAAGACAGGAATTGATATCAATAGCAATGTGTTAGCAATACAACAAAGAGACATGATATCAGAATCATTAGCAGATGTAAATTAGATGTACATGTACAAAGCAGAAATTTTGAACTGTGCGTGTATCTCCAGCAGGTCTTCAATGAATATTGTATAACCTTTATTTTAAAGTTAAAATTGAGATCCAAAGTATTTTGTAGTATAAACACAAATCACCGATTTCATTGCCAAAATCTAGCACTGGTAACGCGTAAATATTTTCAGCAATACATACCCAGGTCCACATTCCATGACACACTGCTGCATTGAGTCTGGTCCTGTACATCGTATACCAACATCTTCTTGATGACCACAATCACTGTGACCATACCAAGATGATGCATGGAACATTGCTGTAGTGTTCTCTCAAAGCCTAAACATTCAACGTCATCCATAAGAATAGGTCCACTACCGGGACCAAAATGACTACTTTCAAATATCGAGATAGCTGATCCTAAGCTGAGTTGACGACAAACCACCGTGGCGTCTTCAATATGCCAGCTATCATCACAAACAGTCCCCCATACACCATTATAATATACCTGATAGATAATCAAATTATATGTAAATATATTGCTTCAAAAATATTGTATCACTTTAACAAAGGTGATGGCATTAAATAACTGCGCCAGTACCACAATTAACTTGCATCAACTCAGACTTCAAGCTCATTACAACAGCTATGTACAATGTATATAAACTGCTGATATAACCAGTACTATAGCTATTGTTATGGAATTGGGTAACCTTCAGATGTTCTGGTTTCCTATGATGTAGTTCCTGCTCAAGTACAATCCAACCTTGCACCACCTTCATTTTATTTCAGCCTATCAAGTTTGTGTATTTAATTCACATGACAGTGTGTGACATATTGTACGTCTTGTAATTCCTGAGTGAATGTACATGACTTTTGTAAATATTGATTTTTGTTGTGATTGTGGTACGTGCCCTACACACAAACAGACAGTAGAATTAAACCGGTGACAGTGGCCAGAAGAAGTCTGTGAGTAGGCGAACCCCACCAATGACAGTAATGTCAAGTTGATGAAAGGTCTCAGTGTTCAGTTACTAAAAACTCCTTTACGCTATTGAACTCACCTCAACTCTGCCTTCAAATTCATCACTACCACCAACAAGTCTTATTTCATTGTTTCCTTTGCTGATATAACCTGTACCACAACTATCCACACAAGTGTTCATCATACTTAGATACTTGTTAGGTGGACATTTACTGCATTTACTGGCAGTATCTACACAATCAAAACATTGAGTACTGAAAACAAAATTACAAATTTATTAATCCAAAAGCTACTTTTAATAGTAAGTATTGCCAATAATAGATCTACAACAAACATTTGTTTGTTTGCTTGTTCATTCATTTATCAAGACAGTAAGTCAATACAATTCAATTATACATTCAATAAATCATATAACAATCATTCCTCAGTTGAAAAAAAAAAAATTCTTGTGCATTGCATTCGCCATTGTTATTTTAAAAGTAAACAAATCTAAAGGTAAAAGGTAACAAACCTGCACATCTTGCATTGACCACTCTGGTCACCATAGTAACCTTCTTCACAGAACTGAACACATTTATTTTCAGAATTGACATATCTGTTTGGTGGACAAGTCAGACAATGATCAGGATCATTTTGACAAGTGACGCATGCTGGTGAACATTTACCACATTCCTTTGTTGGGGTGACATAATAACCATCAGTGCAATCAGATGTTGCAATACAATATGCAGAAGTATCTGGACCAGAACAAACAACACCTAAAAAAAAACAATAGTATTGTGGTCAGAAAAATAGGAAAAAAGTAGCTAGCACTGATCTTTGGAGCAATCTAGAAAGTTTAGATTAGAAAACTGCCTCACATCAGTTGCATTATATTGCATCAGTTTATTAAGCTTTTAGAAAATATATAGTTTACCAAGGACATTTAATGACATAATAGCAGTGAACACTACATCAGTTGTATTATATTGCATCAGTTTATTAAGCTTTTAGAAAATATATAGTTTACCAAGGACATTTAATGACATAATAGCAGTGAACACTACATCAGTTGCATTATATTGCATCAGTTTATTAAGCTTTTAGAAAATATATAGTTTACCAGGGACATTTAATGACATAATAGCAGTGAACACTACATCAGTTGTATTATATTGCATCAGTTTATTAAGCTTTTAGAAAATATATAGTTTACCAGGG